CCCCGTCCATCCCCCTGCTGCGCTACGGCAGCCAGCGGTCCCGAGCGCGCTGGAGGCGCAGGGACGAGTCGCACCACCCTGGGTGGGTGCTGGGTCCTGGTCCTGGAGACTCCCAGGAGCTTTTCCCTCGCTGGGGAAGCGTCTGTGACGCCGGAGCCGGGCACAGCGTTGCAAACAGGGTGGGTAAAGGCTCAGGGAGGGAGGAACAGACCGACTGCCGACCCACCATGGACAGCCAGACACCTGGGACTACCGTCCCCAGGGCCAAAAGAAGCAATGAAGCCCCGAACGTGGACAATATCCTAATAATGACCCACAGCCAGGGCCGTGGTAGGACATAATGAATGTACGTAAAGTGCCTCAAATAGGAAAAATGTGCTGTTATTACTGTTAAATATTTATTCCGCTTTCTGTGAACCTAAAAATACACTAACTGCAGAGTATTTTTTTCCCTGTACAGGTTTTTTGGAATGTGTAATTGTAGAATATTTTCTGCCTCCAGCTATTTTGCTCAAATAACGCCCACAGACTTTACTGCTTGGGGATTTGTTCACAATGGTGTTAAAGAAGGGAAAAAAAAAAAAAAAAATCAAATACTACCACACGGCAGGGAGGGGGGCTGACTCAGATGGCGGTTGTTTGGTGCGGAGAACACCTGGAGCCGGTGCTGAGATGTGTAGGACCGAGCAGCCACAAGCAGCCACGCGACTCTCGGGGTGGGAGAGAGGGGGTGGAAGAGACTAAACACCAGCGCTGCCAAGCAGCCCGAGCCGGGGGCCACCGTGCTGCCTCCCCAAAATCTGCCCGTCCGGGCGATGGCGTTGGGTACTGCGGTAGCTCACTTATCAGGCGGCTCCAGATCCCCAGCGTTCATCGTCAAAGATGCTTTGTCAGATCCTCAGCGTGGGATTTAGTCACCGCAGAACCGAGCCAGCCCCGCAGCATGTGTGGAGCTGAGGGTTTTAGCTCACGTGCTTCTTATTTACCAGCTGGAGCCTGGAAAGCTCACATCTTCCCATGCTCTGCAGACCTCCCACCATCTGGGTAGGTCATCACAGGTCCCGAAGTGCGAGAGCCCAAGCAGAGCATCCCTCCGCAGAGGGACAAGGTGGAGGGCGGGCTGCGGGGATCACCACCGTGATCCAGCCGTTCAGATGGGGAAGGCAGAAGGTCCCGCAGGCATGAAATTAATCTCTGGGGGCTGCAAGGGAGGTGGAGATGGGGTGTCATTTCTACAACTGAAGTGCCTGCGAAACGAAGGGTGGGATTCGAAAGCTGACCGCTGCACCGGTTGCCCAGCTGAGTCCCCAAGGCCACATCACCGAGGGAAGGTGGCTGTGGAGCTTGACTGAACACGGCCGTGTCAGCTCCCCCAGGGCATGTGGCTCTGCAGGTCCTTCCACCCTCGGGACCTTCCCGGACACCGTGTCCGCGTGAGGCAATGACAGACAGGCACAAGGCCGGCCGCTGTGCGTAATGCTGAGGACGTGCTGGTCCAGCCTGTCTGCGCCGGAGGGAGGCACACCGAGACGCCTGTGCTCACCTGCATCCCAATGATCGCGTAGATGAAGAAAAGCATGGCGATGAGGAGGCAGACGTAGGGGAGGGCCTACAAGACAAGACACATGAGTGACCTCATTTAGCACAGGTCCAGCTACAAAAAGCAGAGTGAGCAGGTAAGCTGTGACGATCCGTCTCTCCTACAAGGCAACACGTCAGCAAGACCTCGGGAGCAGCCTGCATTTGGGGGCAGCACCCCAGCACCGTGGCCTGGGAGGAGACCAGGGCACACCTGACTTACCTTGAAGGACTGCACAAATGTCCAGAGCAGGATGCGGATGGTGTAACCCTGGCGCAGCAGCTTGATGAGCCGAGCAGCCCGGAAGAGCTTGAGGAAGCTCATGTTGAAGCTGCTGGTGTTCACCAGCTGGGAGGAGATGAGAGGGTCAGAGGGAGGCAGGAGCCCCCCCCCCCCGCAGCGGTTCGCCCCGCTGCTCCCAGCCCCTGCTTCACCTTGGTGTCCGTCAGGATGATCTCCGTAATGCTGCCGATGACGGTGATGAAGTCAAAGATGTTCCAGGTGTCCCGGAAATAATTCTGCAAAAGGAAGGAGAGAGAGAACATGGATTTGAGATCGGGGATGGCAGGTCTGAAGGGCACTGGGCCACAGGACAGGGCTGCTCGCAGGCAACGGCAGTGGCAGCAAGGACCTCGATGCCCATTTGTATGCGGCCACAGTCTGGAGCATCATCCTGTATCTGAGACGGTGGCAGACCTGCGCGTGCCTGCGGTGAGCAGCTTCTCCTGGGACATGACTCATGCATCCAACAGGCCACCTCGGTGAATGGGAGTGGAAAAGTGGCCACAGCCACACCTGGTCAGGCTGCAACAGCTCACCATGCCAACCCTCACAGCCAGGAGGCTGCTTTGCCCTCCTCTTCGTGGGCACCCGGACCCACCTCAGCACCTGCTGTTTGTGCAGCAGCTGGTGCAAGACCAGACTTAACCACGGCTGGCACCGCTGGGACCAGGGAGCGTGGCTAGAAACCCTCCTGCTGGTGGACCCCATCTCCCAGTATGGGTTAGAGACAGGAAAGAAACTATAAAAGAGCAAATCTGACGGTTGTTCATAAGCAGCAAAGGGTAGCTGAAGAAAAAACAGTCCGTGGCTTCAAGTCTTAAATCAGCAGCTGGAGACTTGAGGACTGTGAACTAGGCAGGGAGGTCTCACTGCTGGTCAGGTCTGGTCCAACTGATAAAGCCCGAGCACAGCAATGCACCAGCATCTCCTGGTTCCCAGGGACAAGGGACTGCAGCTACCAGCATGATCGCAGCAGCAGTTGGCTTTAGCAGTGCGGCTGCACAGCACATAGATGGTCCAGGCATCAAAGTACCACAGAAATGATGCAAGAAGTAAAGCAATGGTGTGGGTTCGCCCACTGGCATCCAGCAGTGGAAAGTTTAATGAGAACCAAAAGAGCAATTCCAACCTAAAAGCAGCTCTCAGGCTGGGACCCAAAATAAATAGCAACAACCTCACATTATTAACACCTTCCCTCTGTGATCTGTGTGCTGCCAAAATCCAAATTAACACGCTCGTCAAGAACAGCAGTAGCCACTTACCAGGAAGCCGAAAGCAATGATCTTGAGGACACACTCCAAGGAGAACACCATGGTGAACGCGATGTTCAGGTACTTCAGGGCCAGCTCATAGGTGTACGGAGCAGAGTAGTACTGATGGAAAGAGAGAGACATCGCTAGCCAGGAGGGGGCTTGCCAGCCTCTTGACTGATGACTGTCCCAGGGCAAACCAGCGGTGGCCCATGCTCCTTGCCCTGGGTGCCTCAAGACTGTCTCCTCCTTTCCCTCTCCACCCCTCTCTCGGGACAGCCGCCACCGCTTCTAAGAAGGAAGCACAGAGTAAATCCAGATCTTTCTGTAGTAGTTAAGAGGTCCAGACCATTTGGGTCATCTGGTTTGGGGAAGATCTTGCCTCCAGTTGGGGGCAGCTGGTGTCTCAAATGACTATGCCAAGGGAACTCATGCTCAGACTCCGTCTCAAAGCATCTCCTAGAAACAACCAAAATACCCTCTGGTCCCATCCTGACCGATCTTCCTTCTCCCCACCACCCCAAACAGGAAAGGCTCACCCTGACCGGCTCACCTTCATCATCAGCACCACAGTGTTCAATGCTATCATGGCCATGATGGTGTACTCGAAGGATGGGGAGACCACAAAGTGCCAGACGCGGTACTGGAAAGTGTGCCGGTTCTGGGGCATGTACCGCGTGAGGGGCTTGGCGCTGATGGCAAAGTCAATACAGGCTCTCTGGAATAAAACAATGTGCATCAGACCCTGGCTGATGGTATCACGGGGGACACCGGCTGCCACGCTTCCTTCCTTCATGGGCTAGGCAGGCAGGTGGCTCACAGGTTTCTTACACTTTTTCAACATCTAGGGACCTCCAAGCTCCCAAACTGCAGAAAACCCATGGAAACGTCCTCTTTCCCCCTCCCCAGACCATACCTCGTTCTTCTCCAGACTGCACTCCTCCATCATTTTGTCTCCTTGCTCTTGGAATGTAATGATGATGAGAGCCACGAAAATGTTGACGAAGAAGAAAGGGAAGACCACAAAATAGACGACATAAAAAATGGACATCTCCATGCGGTTGCTGCGGCTGGGCCCACGGTCCTCCTCCGTCACATCCACAGAATGCTGCAGCACCCTGTGGGCAGACAGGTGGAGAAAAGCAACCAGAGATATGCCCATCAGGACTGCCACCACGCAGCGCTTCTCACGGGACCCAGTCTGTACAGCCAGCTCTGGCTGTCCACACTTGTAACAACGATAGGACAAACCTCTGTCTCAACCTGCTTTACAAGGCTGACCCTTCTAAGTGGCTACAGCCTGTTTTGTGGTGCTTCGCCCATGCCCCTGATGGAAAATGGATTTTCCAGTGCTCCACATACAGAGAAAAAAACGTGCCCAGGCTCACATGAGCATGAAGAAAGGGCTAGTCCTATGGTCATCTCTAAAATTGAGCTAAAACATACCTCAGGGCCACACAGGAGAAGGGATTATGCATCATTCACTCCCTAAGGAAGAAGCTAACTCCAGCCACAGTCTCAGCCTCATCCGGGGGGTAAAGCTCTTTTGTTCTGATGTAATTTCTCATCCTTCCTCTCCTCCTCCCTGCCCAGCAGTTTCGCTCTCAGTCCCACCTGGGTGTAGCCAGTTATTAACCCAATCACCCCAGTGGGGACATGCCCACCCCCGTTCAAGGCGGGGACAAAGCAGACTACTCACTGAGGCCAACCCTCGCCGGTGGAGACCGTGAATAGGGTGAGCAAAGCCCAGATGATATTGTCGTAGTGAAACTCATGGCGTTTCCACTCCCGGCACTTCACTTCCATCTTGTTCTTCTCGTGGTCCACGTAGTTCCCTCTGCAAGGTTGGGAGAGAGCAGTGACCTTGCTTTTTATGCTGCCAGACTATGAGACGGTGGCTTTAAACCCTGGGGGCAAGCGGGGGCAGGGGGACGGGACACCTCTCCTCCTACAGGGCTGGGGGGAGAAATAGGGAGAGGCTGGCTAACAACTGCGGGGAAGCAGAGAAGGGGAAAGCAAAAGGGAAGACAAAAGGAGGAAAGAGAACAGGAGCAAAATACGGGGCTCTGCATCCCGCACCCTGTGCAAGGATGCACAGCACGGACACAGCAATGGGGATGGGGCTCAGTCCATGCCGTCCACCCCAAGAGACTATGGCCAAGAGCAAGTCATGACCATGGACTTAACTGGGAACCCAAAGATGACATTACCCAGCACCCTGTCTTTGCCAGAGGTGTCAGCAGCATCGGACCTACTGAACAGGGCACCTACATGCAGTCCTTCTCCGTGTCCTTGGAGCTGTCAGTACAGTAGAAGAACTTCCCCTTGAAGAGCTGGACGGCAATGACAGCAAAGATGAACATGAAGAGTTTGTAGACGATGAGGATGTTAAAGACGTTCTTGAGGGAGGTCACGACACAGTCGAAGACGGCCTGCAGGAGAGGGCATAGCTCACCTTGGGGAACCCACAGGCTCGGCAAAGGGCAGGACCAAAACCTTCCTCAAGACTACCATGGGGAAAGACATTTCCCACTCCTGGGGGGAAAGGAGGAAAGAGCTAGGCCTTCTCCTGGGTGAAGGGCCATTTTCTGAGCGAGTTTAACACCCGGCATACCCCCAGCGCACACACACACACGGCAGCAGGGATGGATATTTATATCCTCCAGCATCCTCTGCAACCAGGGCAGCAGAGAGGGACCGCACCAATGATGCAATTAGCAGCACTCAAGACCAATTAGTAAATGCTTCTTTGTTTCACAACACCCCTAATAACAAGGCAGAGCCCGCAATAGCAGCACCTCCCCAGGCTGTGCTCTCAGTCCTAGTTCTCACAGCACCTTAAGAAAGAGAGGAATGTCCTTTTCCCTGCTTCACGGTGAAGACAGAGATTTCCAGAAATGAACTGACACAGGCTGAATCCATCCACTGATCAGGAAGAAAAGCTGGGATCAAAACCCATGTCTCTGGGGTGCCACGCTGGGCCTCATCCACCAGCCAAATATCCCCTTGGGAGGAAAAACTGAGGGCTTCCCCGGTCTCTTACTCCTTTCTGCCTCCATACCCCATCGGCTAAGGCAGGGAAAGCCATAATCCTACCTGCACTGCATAAATAATCCCTCTACTCAGATGGGAAACCCCCCTTTGCTGTAACACCGTGACAGCACAAGCACACAAAATCCCGAGCGGTTTGCAGGCTGCTCTAGTGGGAAAGATCACAAACTTTGGAAAGAGATGTGAGCTCTCCCAAAGCTGGGGCAGCCTATGTCAGGAGAGCATCTGAGCTTTGCTGCCTCGTGTCCACTCCGGCCCCGCTTTCCCTGGGACCTAACTCTGACACCTTGCAGAGATCCAGGCTCGCTTTTAATAACTCATTGCACCTCCAGATGTGAAGCAGCCCGAAGGGCATTGCGTTTGAGAACAGGGCTCCTAAAACACAGCAAATGCTTTGAAATCTACTTGCTCATCGCTGACGAGCAAATGGACGCATGTGGTCCCTGCACCAAACGGTCCATGCTGGAGAAGACAGACATGAGACAGGAGATGGGAATCGTTACCTTCAGCTTTGGCAGTCGCTTGATGGTTTTCAGGGGCCTCAAGACCCGTAGCACACGGAGAGACTTGATGGTCTTGATATCCCGGCCCTTGTTGGTCCTACCACGTCAGAGGGAGGCACACGCACCCAAAAATGAAAGGGAGAGACAATAGCCTTGCAGACCCGGGGCTGGATGCTCAGGGGGGTTCAAGAGCTGCCAACCACCCCCAGCATGCACAAGGAGGGGAACAGGAGGGCCACATGCCGCCATGGGGGCCAGCGATCACGAAGGTGTGACTGCCAAGTGCTTAGCCCACCCAAACAAGTCTCCTCCAACACGCGTGCTGACAGCTGGCAGAGATGAAAAATAAAGCAATCCTCTCCTCCTGGGGATTAGCACCTTTCCCCTTCGCTGGGGAGCAGCGACCTTGACAAAGCCCCTCGCTGTGGGAAGCGGTGGGGTGCCAGGGCTGGGGCAGCTGCCCAAAGGGCGCTGGCACGCTGCCCTCTCCCATGTCCCCAGGCCACGCCGCTCGGCAGGGCCAGGAGGTTTGCTCCTCTCCTGCAGGCACATGTCATTTGCAGATGGGGCTTGCAAAAGGCCCCCGCCATTGCAAATTGTTTTCTACCGTTATGCCTAGTTGCAAGAAATCCGTAATAAAATGAGGGAGATGCACTCAATGGGGTCTACATGCAGGGGTGTCACAAAGGGTTTTCCCTCCTGGCTTAAGCTCAAAATTCACGGTCCTTATGTCCACCTAGGGAAGCACCTGCTCCGTGCTTGGTTTGTTCACACAAATGCTGCCTTTTACAGCTTTCTGCCTTACTCCGTCAGTGCTCTCCAACATGGCCAGCCCAGTCCTCTACCTCACGTGCATGTAACAGCTCAGCCCTCTCTTGCCTCTCCCGATCGGGGCTGCACTTGCCTCCACCCCAAGTCAGCTGAGGGAGGCAGATCTTACCAGGAGAATTATTTAGAAAAGTCCCCTTCATGAGCCTCATTTCTTGACTATGATGATTAATCCCAACCACAATACCAGGTGGGTTTTTTTCTTGTCTTTTAACTAGAGCCCTTGGGCTGGATCCCAGGATGGAGCAAAGTGGTCCTGGTGAAGGTGGCACAGTTTGGATCCACCAGGCATCCTCAAAAAACATCAAGGAAATGACTTACAACAACAGATGCTCCAAATTACACAGCTCCTTTGTGAGGGTTAATGCAACAGGGAATGCAATAATGGGCTTAATCATTAAAAGATGTAAACAAAACCACTAATTAATAGTCCTCCCTAGGAGCACAACCCCACAAATGCATGAAAAGCAACTGTACAAACAGCCCTGGGACTCATTTTGCACCTTCCATCTCCTGCTTTGCTCAGTGTCAAGGCTTGGGTAAGCGGCTGGGGCATCCAGCTCGGGGCTGGGGTGAAGATTTGAGGGCACCAGTCAGCTTCCACCAAGAGCAACTCAACTGCAGTGGTTTACATCTGCTGAGGAGGGACCTCTTCAGACCTCAGGAAACCTCCTGTGGATTTGCTTGGGATCCAACACAGATATGGGACATAGAGCTGGATAACGCCTGGAGGAAAGCCTGGCTTTGCTGTGTCTACGGCCGAGGCTGAGCTCTCCCCAGCGCCCTGAGCCTGGCATGAACCACATCCTCTCAGAGGACGTCAGGGCTGAAGCCCCTGCAGTGCTTCAGTGCAGGCAAAGCCCTCGCTGGGGCAGAGCCTTCAGCTCTGTCGTGGACATCGCTTTCCCCGTGCCGTGCTCCCCTGGGTGTCCTCCACATCATCTCGGGGTACTGCACGGACATGGAGATCCAGGATGAAAGCACCCTCCTCCGAAGGCAAGGGATTGCATCGCTTGCAAAGAAAATCCTGCCCGCGCTTTCCCAGAGCGCATCACCTTTAACGCATCCCGGGGTGATGCAGGGGTGCGTGCAGAGCAGCGTTACTCCAGTCTCTGCAAACGCAGCTAAGGGTCAGCACAGGTGTTGGACAGACAGACACCCGCCTGCGTCCATCCCACCATGCCCCCCATGGCAGCACCCCACGGCAACCCAACCGGCATAGTTACCCCAAAGCATTCCTGTTGGCGATCCAGCCCGGCAGCCACCAAACAGCACCAACGGAGAGAAGGAAAAAGAGAGAAGAGAGGAAGAAGGTAAGACAAGCAGCGGGGGAGCTGCACGGGGACAACCGCAGCCTCTCGGGCGTGGGGACCCTGCAGCAGCCCTCCACTGCCCCACGCCTGGGTTGAAAGCCACGATGAGTAGACCACGTTGTGTTCTCCAGGATGGGGCTTATCTCCAGGGAGGGACTCATCCAGCAAGCTGGGAGTCCCTGCCCTCCCCGCTGGAGGTTTTGGGAGGGGGGCGTGTAGTGAAACCTCTGCTGCAAGAGGAACCCGTGGAGAGCGGGACAGTGGGTGACAGAGGGCAGGCACGTGGTACTCCTCAGTCAGGAGTTGGGGAGGGACCTCAGGGCTCGGTGCCAACCAGCCAAAGGCAGGTGCCTCTGAGGGAACCTACCTGCAAGGCCACAAGAGTTCCCATCCAAACAGGCTAGCTTCGGTAAGTCACCCCCATCAAGAAATCCACTGATTAACCAGAAAGAGCCAATGCCGCCCAAGCTGCAGCGCGGGATCTCCTGCAGCCCAGCAGGACACCCGCTCGGGCAAGCCAAGGGGGTCTACAAGGTCCCTAGTTGTAACCAAGCCTCCGTCCCTGCTTGAGTTGAGTCCCTGCCATGTGCCTGCAGAGGGCTCAGCACTGGGGGCAAAGCCTACTAAGTAAAACATTTCTTAAAAACCATAAAAATAACCCCAGGCCCTGGCAGCATGATAGTGAAGCAGGTGGAAGGTACGTTGCAAAGGCAATAGTTTAACTCTGCAGTACTTCTGTGATAGGATCTGTCCTGAGCAGCCTCACAACAGGTTATTTTGCAGGACATAAGGGTCCCTCTTGCTTCCAGACACTGGTGCCAACGAGCACAAGGAGATGCTGCTCAGCAAAGAAAGAGGCACCTCTGATGGCTACCTCTGGGTGGAGAAACTCCTGCCCTTGCTCACCAGGCAAGACGACGAGGGCTACGCACGGACCACCGCTCCACTGGCTGCCACTGGCCGCTCAACCTTTCCACCGCTCAACCTTTCCACCAACCCTTCCATCACTCAACCCTTCCCGCCGCTGCGAGGCCGCAGGCGTAGGCATCACCACCTCGCGGCAGCTCTGCAAAGCCACAAGCGAGCGCTGCTCCTCTGCGCAATGCCTCCTCGGAGGGTGCCACGGGAGGAAAAAGCGAGCAGCGTCTTTAGTTATGGTTCTGGTTATTTCAGCTAATTTAATTTGAACTCTTTGGAGATTTACGGTGTTATATTGGGCTTTTTATTTAGGCTGTGTTTGGATTGACGTATTAGCTTTCCACACGAGTTACGGAGGAGCCAAGATGACCTCTCGCTTGGGATGTATGGGCTCCAGGGGGGCAGAGGACAAGCCATCACAGAGAGACACGGCTTTATGGGTGGCCACTTGCTTATCGGTGATTTTGGTGTGGCACCGCTGGACCAACTCAGAGACCTCCTGCTCTCCCCACGGCTACCCAAGACCCCCGCAGGGAAACCAAACTGCAGAGAGGAGGCACAAAGGGCAGAAAGCCCAAAAGGCACGGCGTGTCCCAGCACTTCTTCTACCGGCAAGTGCTGGACCCAGTCACCGGCCGCCCTCAGCCACGTTAATTGCTGCAGCCGCTCCATGAGCGTCGCTTTGCCCACCCACTGCCGTGGAGGCGAGGCGGGGGAGAGGGAAGACGTGTCCCCCCTCCAGCCCCACATCAAAGAGGTCATGGAGGGATAAGAGAAGGAGAGGGATTTAAACACCATGGCAAAGTTTTCCTCTTGAGACCGGGATGGAGGGAGGGTGGGCGGCGGGTTGGGACATTTATAGCTGGCGAACATCCTGCAGCTCCTGGGGCCGTGGTGGTGACAGGCTGCCAAGGGGAGAGGCAGGTGTTCTTATAAATGCTTTATAATGTATAAACCTGTCAGAAATCGCTGCGATTCCTTTGTTCCCCTCACCCCCGAAGCCATGAGATCATCTCCTCCAGCAGGAGCCACCGTTGGACGTGGGGGAGAGGGACAATCCTGCAGGTTTACATTATAAAGAGGCTTCGTCCACGACACGAGCAACTCGGTATCTACCCAGCTACAGCTACAAGAGTGAGCAGGCAACACAGATGCTTGCTGCAAACGTATGTGGGGGTGCAAAGGCCTTCTCCGGGGCAGGGGGGTTCGGTGCCATGGTCAGTGGGGTGCTCACCCTCAAGAATTCAGCTGCCCCGTGCCCAAAGGGACCTGTCCGTCCCTTGGGAGGCTGGGTGGAGGCAGGCAGGCGGGGTAGGAAGGGGCACGGCAGCTTCCCCACGTGCTCGGTGCTGGCACGTGGGGACCCCGCCAGCTCCAGGGGCCACCCCAGGAACCACACCACCTCTGTGGGGTGGGGGCAAGAGAACAGTGAGTGCAGCAAGCACCGATTACCGTATCGTGAGCGGCCATAAGGACACCTGTCCACCCGGGAGCAGCCTGAGCCATCAACCTCCCCTCCTTCGGCCATCAGAAAGCCTTGATGAAAGGTGCCTTGGAATGCAAAGGCTCTCTTGTCCCCCTAAAGCCCCTCAAACCACCCAGCACGTCTTCAGGCTGCTGATGCCCTTGAACCCCACCTCCAGACATGCTCTGAGGGGGTGCCCTGGTTGGTGGGGGGGGCTCAGCCAGGCCCCAGAGATGCTTGATCCATCCTCGCAGTGGCCTGGGGGGCCTCCGGAGGGCTCAGAGCAAAGGCCCCGGGCAGGGGACCTGACCCGTGCCTTCCCGGCCGGGGGCCCTGCCCCGTGCCCCTTCCCCACGCCGGGGTCTGCGGTCAGCCCCCCGCCCTGCCCAGGGGCTGGTTCATCCCTGTGCTGAGCAAGCTGAATTCTTCCGTGCTCTGCCCAAGGAGAGAGCAGCGGCTGAAAGCAGCGGCGAGGACAGGGGTG